AGTACTGGGGATTGAACCCAGGACTTTGTGCATGCTAACTAAGCATGTACTCTAACCACTGAGCTATACCCTCTCCCTGCTCTCTTGTAAATACTTTTTTGTTTTACTCACTTTAATTTTAATTTGTTTTACTCTTTTTAATAGGTAATTCATTCACATTATTCAAAATTCAAAAGATTAAAAAAGTTATATAGAGAAAAGTTCCCTTCCACTGGTGCCTTTCAGCCACCCTATGCCCCTCCCAATAATTTTAGTTTCATGAGTAAACCTTTGTTTTACACAAATGGTAGTATTACATACTGTTCTACCCGTTGCCTTTTTCACTTAATAATATATCCTGGGGATTATTCCACATTAGCCCATAAAGAGCTTCACATTTTTTGTTTTACAACTGCATAGTATTTTGTATTTTAGTTCAACACGTTAATTTGTCTTCAGTATTTCCTGTGTCTGGTAATTCCATCTAGAAGCTCACAGATGTTGTGTTCTTCCAGTAGAAGGTACATTTGTGATGTTAGCAGCTGACGATTATCCAATTCACTGGGGATTGCAAAGTGCTGATTTGCTAATAGCATCATTCATTTTTCATTTATTAGTTTCAATACTTCTGTAAAAAGATACTTCCTATCATTTATAATTCAGTGACCCAGAGGTATAGTTTATATAAGAAATGCTTGACTCTTTCTGTTCCCTTTATAAACCAGTTAAAAAAAAATTGATTGTCTGCCATCCTCTAATGGTAACTGATTTTTCTAAAGCATCCTGATACGCTCATAATCAAACAGGTTGACATTTTTTTCAGTCCACTGCAGTTCTTAACCTTATTGATGCTCACACTGTCCCTTTTTTTGTGCCCGTTATCTACTGCCACGTAACAAACCATTCCGAAATTAGTGACTTGAAACAACATCTTATTTAATTCTCTGTGAACTGTAGGTTGACTTAGCTTACCAGGGAGGTTCTTGCCTGGCATCTCTCATGGTTTTCAGTCAGATGTCGGTTGGGGCTGCAGTCATCTGAAGGCTTGACTGAGCTGGGTGTCTTACGCTGACTGGCAGTTGAGTCTGACTGTCAGCTGGGAATTCAGCTGGGCTGTTAACTGTAATGCTTTCACATGGCCCCAACAGGCACTGGCTTCTCACATTCAAAAGTGGGAGAACCAGTACTCCCAGAGCCAAAGAATTGGCACTAGGAATGGAGTTGGGGGAAGGAGATGCCATTCATGCCACCCAGCTAGCCAGCTGAGTACATTTTTATTTCCTCACGCAGATGTCATTCAGCCAAAATGGTAACTCTGTGCTTTCTATACAGTCTTTAGCGAAGGACCTGTCAGAAGCGGAGGAGCAGTATGCCCACGCCCTGCGCAGCCACCTGCACAACGTCGACCAGCTCCTGGCTCTGCAGAGATGCCGGCTCAGCCTCCTAGAGGAGAGTTACAACATGGAGCTGGAGGCCCTCACCAAGGAGTTTGAGACAGAAAGGTGTGGGGGCCTAAGAGGAGATGGGGGATTGAGTATACAGGAGTATCCAGAGCCTGTGTCAAGGTGCTGCCTGAAAGCAGCCACCCACTTTCTTTCTTTTTTTTTTTTTCTTTTCTTTTTCACAAACATTTTGGGGGCGGTAGGTAATTAGGTTTATTTATTTATATTTTAATTTTTTTAACAGAGGTACTGGGGATTGAACCCGGACCTCATGCATGTTAAGCATGCACTCCATCACTGAGCTATTCCCTCCCCACCCCATTTTCAACTATCAAAATCCTACCCATCTACCTACTCAGGGGACTTATCCCTGTAACTTTTCTGCTTTTTTATTTTTGTACCATATGAATGTATTACCTATTCAGAAATCAAAATAATCTTATTCATTCTTTCTGGCCCTAAAATGAATAGAACTCACTCTCCCTCTGTTTGTCATCAGACCTAGGAGTTTATACCATTCATATAGTTTTATTACATACTGCTTTGAGTTGTCATTATTGGTTCATATGCTTTATCCCTCAGAGCAAGAACAGTGTCTTGTCTCCTATAGGAAGACAATTATTGACCAACATGAAAAAGAGATTCACTACCTACAAGATGTTTTCATGGCCATGGAACAGAACTATATAGATTCTGAGTATGAAAGCAAGCTGGAGTTCCAGAGCATGTGGGATGATCTCAAAAACAAGGTACCAAGGGAGAGCAGTTAGGCAGGAACGGGGAGAGAAGTGAGAGAAACGTGCTCAAGGGTGGTAGAGCTAGAAGAGATCCCTTTAACCAATGTAGTCAATAAAATGCCTGCTGCCAATATACGTACCCCTACTGCTTTTTGTAATTTTGTGAAAATTGGCGGGGAGGGAGGACTACTTTGAAATGTCTAGGAAATGCATTTAAGAGCTAAAACGCACCAAGGAGATCATATGGCCTCACCCCTGTGGTTTGTAACTAAAGAAAGTAAGGCCCAAAGAAGTGAAATGACCTGTCAAAGTCATGCTGCTGGTTTGTGGTAGAGCCAGGAGAGGCCAGGTCTCCTGCCCTGGGGCCCCAAGAGCTTTCCACCATCCTGGAGGGTGCAGACTTAGCCAACCTGAAGCTCTGGTTTTGGGGAGTGGCGGGGGGGGGTATTTTGCCCCACAGTGTTTTATAAAAAATTTTAATAAGCTTCCTACATTTAAAAATTGGGAGATTTCACATAAAAATCCAAAAATTCAGCTTCCCTTGACAAATTTAAAGATCTGATAACCCTGGGCCATATTTCCAAATGGGGACATTCATGTGGAGCTGAGCAGCTGTGCCCCCTCCCCCCACCACCATTGGAACATTTCCTCTCTGGTTCACCACAGGCCCCATGTAGCCCACAGCGCTTATTTATATCATCTGCCTGGTCTTTGTAGGCATTTTCACTGGCGACCTCTGTACCATGCTGTGTTACAAACAGCTCAAGAGGGGGAGGTTGCTGGTAGAAGTAAAAGGGTGCTATTAGGGTAATTCCAAGCACTGGCTCTATTGGGGCCACTTCCTAGAACTTAGAAGAGAAGCACTTTCTAAGACTGCAACTGGAGAATATAGTTGAAGATCTGTGGAGAAGGTTCCAGGATGCACTCAAGAATTACACTGACGCCACAGAAGATCGAAAGATTGCCTTCGAGACTCTACAAGTGAAGGACGAGAAGAGCTCCAAAGAGATTGAAGCACAGATGAAAAAAATACAGAGACTACAGGTTAGTGCAGCACGTGAGTCACTGCTGTAACTGCTCCGTTATCCCCTGCTCTTCTTTCCCCAGTTTCCACATGGCCTTGTCACTGGTTGGGGAAAGATGGTATGCTCTGATTTCAGTCCCCAGCCAGTCTCACCGAAGACCCTCACCTAGTCAAGTGTTTCCTCTAATCCGCTCTGTTCCTTTAGGATTCCATAATTATTTTGAAAGGCAAGATCATGGTACACAGCCGGGAGAGTGAAGAACAGAACCAGGACATTCGTAATGACAAGGAACTGGTCCTTGTACAACTGCGAAAACTTAAGGCCCAAAGGACTCAGGCCCGGAGAATATCACAAGAGAACTTAGTCAAACTCACCCTGGAAAGTAACGCCACCCTCAAGGCCCTGAGAATGGCTGTTGACAAGGTAACAAAGGGGAGAGGGCAGTCAGAATAAAACCAAGGAACCTGGCTCCCTGCGAAGTGAAAGGAGTTTGGGAGAGGTGGAGGGCTTCCTCCTGCTTCCTACCCAAGTGGACACTTGGAATACCTTTTGTTTTCCATGTTCCCTCCCTCTCACATTTTAAATTAAATGAGTTAATGATGAATGAATTTTAGAAGAATATATAATACTTGCAGTTGTGCTTGGCACATAGTAAGCACTCTTGGGTTAGATGTGTTTATTACTTTTGACTTCCATTTAGATAAGTAGCTTCCCTGGATTGAAGCAGGAGAACCAACTCAACTATTTCCCCTTCCCACCCCCTTTCCTAATAAAAGGTTTCTTCTTGCTTCCAATAGGGTGAAAAGATCCTTAAACTGGCTGAAATATGTAGGAAATTTGAAACAGAGGAAGAAAAAGTGCTGCCTTTTTATTCGTCAGTATTGACTCATGAGGAGCAGGAGGAGATAGAGGAAATTAACCCAAAGGAGTTTAATGATGAGCTGGCAAAGGTAAAGTTCCTAGGGCCCCGGGGCCGTCGCCCAGGGCCGGGGATGACAGAGCATCGGGCTGCACTTGCCAAGGGTCCTACCACACACCTTCTCCCTTTAATTCAACTCCCAGGTGATAATGGACTACACAGGGATGGAGAATTTCTGGAAAAGGTACAACAAAGTGAAACTAGAGCAACTGAGCCTCCAACACAGACGTGCCCAGTTGTTAGAAATCAATGAGAAGCTGCGGGAGATGCTCAGGCAGTACTTGGATGGCATCTCAGTGAGTGATGAAGTGCTGAGCCAGCTCAACCCACTCTTCATCGTCAATCATCGCAGCAACCTACCCCAGCCCTTGTCCACGCCTGCAGCCCAGCCAGGTGACAAAAAACCTCCAACCACTTACATCATTGAAGCAGCCCATGTGATCTCCCACATCCTGTGATACAAGAAAATCTCTTTTCAACCCCCAGAGAGTGTTTTGAGAGACCTGAGAATTTTGCTATTAAAAGGCTCCATGGAGTTTATGAGCTTCTTCTATCTTTGCTGTACTGGATAGAATAGTCTTCTTGGAAGATGCTAGGAATACAGCGGCACTAGGGAGTAGAGAGAATGGCTAGGCAACTACCAGGAGGCTTACTTCTCATTGATGGATTTATTGCTCCTCAGAGTCAGGACACTATGGGAGCCAAAACCCATACCTTCAGGACCTAGAGATCCTATGGTCCTAGGGGTGAGTTAGGACTGGAAGAGGCCAGGAGAAGTGATCCAAAGCCTCTAACCACACCCATGCCAGGCAAGACCCAACTCAGAATGCCTTTTTCCCCAGCCCTTTACCTCATTCCCGCTTACACAGATCGAAAAGTATCCGGTGAAGAATGCAGAGAAGGTTTTTAAAAATTATTATTATTTATTATTTCTTTTTGCTCTTGTTTCGTTTCTCTTCCTTGAGCTTCTTTTTGGAAACTTTAGGTGTGCTGGCCTTTCTGTATAGGTGATACCCAATGAGGCCCAGAAGGGCAGGCACCATGGCCATGCCTACCAGAGGCAAAATGCCCTTCACCAGCTTTTGCCAGTAGTTGGCTCGGATCAGTGCAATCAGCTCCACGTCAAAATGCAGCACTGCATCCGCTGAAGGCAGAGAGGAGGTGAGGGTTAGAATCTCTGTACATTTTATCCAGGACCCAGAATCTGAATGAAAACAGGGAGGGCAGACCACACCACAGCAACAACTACGAAGCTGGCAAGATTTAAATCTGGAACTGAATTCTCTTAAAGGCAGAGGCAGAGGAGGGTTATGAGGCTCTCTAGTGATAGTCACGTTTACCCAAAACATACAAGTTGTGCCTTATGTTCAGTGGCAGGTTTCTGACGGGGCAGAAGAACTTTCGGTGGATCTGCAAAGTACAGGCTGTTCTCCATTTATACGTTAGAGAACCACTGTACTAACTGTATTCCATTCCCAAACAGCCACATGGATAGAATCTTTGTGGGGCTGAAATTAATTGGATTTAAACTAGACTTTTAAAAATTTCACCAACCAATAAGCACACTCAACATGACTGTTAGAAAAATATAGGTGTTTCAACATAAGGGCTAGAGAGGAAGGAGGATGTGGTTTAAGAAGAAGTAGGGGAATGAAAAGGAGTGAGTTGGGGGAGAAATGCAAATAGAAGCAGCACTGGAAATGAGGTAACAGAGCTTTGGGTAAAAGAATTTTTCTTTAGCCCTCCTGGCCCTTCTGTCTGGATCTCCATCTAAGCCAGAACTAGGATAAGAACTTTTATCCCAGTACTCTGAGGTATAATTCATTTTAGCAATAGAACATTTCTTATAGCCAAAAGCAAGTGATATGCATCTTGGGAAATCTGTCCAACCTCAGGCCTTCAGGAATAGGTATCAGCAGTGACCTGTGAAGGCTTTTAAAGTTATGGGGCAGGCTTGGCTTAAAACAAGTTGTTTTTTGTTTTATTTTGTTTTGAATTTCTTGACGGTGATCACTTTTTCTGTCTTGTCCCTAGTGGATGCTGAGAGGAATAGTTGTGATGTGGTGAGAAGCCATGCCAGCTGCATAAATGAGTTTGGAGTTGTAGGAAAAAGACAGAAGTCCAGAGTTCTTGGAGAGGTGGCACAGGCAGCAGACCCATGTGTCTCAAGCAGCCGTCTCCTCCCTAAAAGTTGCTGGCTGCCAGAGGGCAAGCCAGGTTGCTTTAACAGACATGTCTCTAGTCCCTGCTGGTGATCTGAGAAGGAAAAAGGTGGCCCTGCAGAAGGAGGCCTCAGCCACTCCTGAAGCTTTCAGCAAACTGGGTTTAGACCTTCGCAAGCTCCAGAGTATGTGACTCCTCGTAGCTCTTAGGGTATTTTGAATGCCTCAGGAGATGCCTAGTCAGATTACCTGGGATAGATGGCGGAAATCCCCGTTTTCCATAGGCCAAGTCAGAAGGAATGATTACCCTTCGCTTCTCTCTGCGGGAAGGAATGTGAGTCATAGCCAGAGGTGAGGCCAAGGATGCCAGCCACCTCAGTCCCTCTGAAGCCCCACCAGCAAAACCCTCTGGATAGTCACACCCAAAATGTGAACCTTCCCACCTGAGCAGCAAATAGGTTGACCAGAAACAGTGTCCATCCCCTGACATGTATCAACTCCTCCAACAAAACCCACAGCCAGAAAGCCTGAGGCTTTATCCAAAGCCTCAGTACCCAGTGACCTGACCTGCCCTGCCCAGTGTGAAGCCAGGGCCCATGCTCCTGCCTCCTCTAGGACCAAGGATAGCAGAGATAGCCTCCACCCATGCAGAGGGGGTACCTAAGCCCACCCCTGCACAGATACTCACCCCACACACATGTCCAGAAGGCTCTGCTCCAGACCTTGAAGAAGAAGACACAACTCAACAGGAAACTACCTCCATTCCCCAAATCCCAGGAGAGGATCGAAGACTCCCCCTTAACCCTCAGATGAGCTCCCCACTTCTCAAATCTCTGGTTTCCAGTGTGGTATGGGGCAAAAGGAGTCCTAGAAATGGGGCGTGAACCTCAGGAGGTGGCTGGTGGAGCCCTGGGGTCTTATTCCAGCCAAAGTAGCTTAAGGGTTACTAAGAAAGGGCTTCGGTTGGAAATAAGTGGAATGGGAGGTACAGTTCACATACCTGGTATCACCTGCTTTTGGCCAAGTTCTATAACCAGAGGGTCTCTGGTCAGAGAAGTGTCAATGATGCGGCCGTCTACCAAGCTGCCCTGCAGGGAGAGAGCATCCAGAGCGCACACCTAGTACCTCTCCCTCCCAGCAGGGCGCGCAAACACCTGGGCCTCAGGCTGCGGCAACCCCCGGGCAGCTGCAGTTTAGCATTCCCCTTGGGGCAGAGAGGAACAGGAAGCTCCATAAGGGCTGGCACTTCGCGGATATCTCTCCACCCTTCACTTCTCGGTGCCAGTGCCGGGGAGGAACTGGCAGAAAAAGCAGGGAGGGAAGAGGGGCGCCCCTCCCCCCGCCACGTGCTGGGCGACCCCAGAGCGGGAGTTGTTACTCCCGAACCACTTGCCACGTGTCCATGCCAAAGCTGACGTGTTTCAGCAGGGTGACGCCCCCTCCCCCCAGGCCCCGCCTCGGTCCCCCAGGCCCTCACCGTGTAGTGTATGTGAAGCGTGTCTCCAAAGGCAGCAGGCTCAGCACAGGGTTCGGGGGGCTCCACCTACGATCGCACTACAGGAGTCACGGAGGCTCCTCCAAAGATCCCGTCCTTGCCCCTGGACTCGGCACCCCTGATTCAGTCCCCGCACTTCCTCTCCTCCCCGCTCCTAGGTTCGTTTAGACCCCAGTATTCCCCCCATAAGGCCCGACCTCTGGGGCACCCTGGTCTATCTCCTCCTCACCAGGGTCTCCACTTGGAGGGTCCGGACGGGACTTTCGGTTTCGAACCCGGCCTCAGCCCGGCACGCTGCCCCACCGAGCAGCAGCAGCAGCAGCAGCAGACGGAGCTGGAGAAGTGAGGGGCGCAGGGTCATGACTGGATGCGGGGCAGGGATCAGGGCACCCAGGACAGGCTGTTGGGTGGCAGCTGCTAGGACAGCAGTTTCTTCGGCGCCCAGGCCAGACTGGACGGGACGGGGCGGGTCGAGACGCGCTAGCTCCTCCTCCTGCAGCCCTTCCTCCACCTTGTCCCCACCTCCTGGAGGGAGGAGGCCGCGGGAGCTCTCCCTTCCCTCTAAGATCGGGAGGTTACATATTCTAAGCTGTCCGTTATCCGTTCGGTCCCATAACAAGGGGGCTGGGTCACATTAGTAGCACCCACCTACGATTACCTATTGTGTTTCAGACACCTGTCTGTAATCCTCAAAACCTAAAAGGTAGGCAAAATTGTTTCCAATTTACAGATGAGGAACTAGGTTTTCAGGTTAAGTAGCTGCGCAAGGTCATCTCTGGTGACAGAGACAGGATTCAAACCCAGGACTATCCAAGTCCAGAGTAAACGTTTGCTCTGTTTCCTCTTAAATATGTGTCTCCTCACACCTATCCTGGCAGTGTCTGGCAGGCGCACCCGACCCCAGCAGTTGTCGAAGGTGGCATCCCTCTCCCACATCCAGCCCTTCGGCTCGAACTTCCGGAGGTCATATACCCAAAAGGAGGCAGGGAGCTGTCCCATCGCCCTGTTCTTCAGAAGGGTGATTGAAAAGAGCAAGGAGCTATTTTACTATAAGGATGGGTGAATCTCTGATCTCTTCCTCTGACATTACCATTTGCTTTTTCCTTTCATCAACAAACTTGTCAAAAGGACAGCTACATACAACCCTTTTACATTTGTGCAAGGACTTCAGCTTTTAAAAGGGTTTTAAAATTATTTCAGGTGACCCTGCCAGTCCCGTTGTGCATGATTTAAGCCCTCAGCATTTGGCCCCTCCACTCAAGCCTTAGGTATCTGGATTCTGCTCCCTCAGAAGTCATCAGTGAGCTCACAGTCACCATATTTTGAAGTCACTTCTTAGTCCTTGTCTTTAGTCAGTGATGCCATAGAGCTCTGACTGCCCTTCCAAGCTCTAGACATAACTGCATCCCTGCATACAGGGAATCTCCACCTGGATGTCTGACCAGCACCTCAAATCAAGACACACAATACTGTTCTCATTCCTCTTTCTCCTTCCATCCCACCTGCAACAATCTAGACTTTGCTCCCAATTGCCTGTTCCTGTTCATGGTTCTGCTGTCAGCATTTCTCTGATTCTTCTCTCATCTCCCACATCCAACCAGTCCCCTTTGGTTTCTCCCTCCACAGCCTCTGCAGCCCTCTTTCCATTCCCATGGCTTCCACCCTAATTAACTCTTAGTTCTCTCTTCTGGGTTATTTAAAAAGAAAAAAAAAGAAAGTCCCCTCAGCAGGAGGGAATTTCTGGGGGTGATGAAGTGCTCCATATCTAGGGATGTGGGCTCCATGGGTGTATGCATGTCAGAACTTACCAAACTGCAAAAGATCTGCGCATTGCACTGCATGCAAATTATACCGCAAATCTTTCAAAAAGAAAAAAAGAACAAGCACAAACAAAACTATATTTCCAAATCTCCCTTAAGGTTGGATAAGGCCATGTGGCTAAATTCTGGCCAATAAGACAAAGAAGTGTTAGAAATATTGTCCAGGACTTCCAGGGAGGCTGCTTAAAGGGAGTTAATTTAGCTAAGATGTGTGCCATAATGCTCCACCTCCTCCCCCAGTCTCTTTCCCTTCCCTTCTTTCTGCTGCCTGGAATGTAGATGAGATGAATTGCACTCCAGCAGCCACCTGAGACCATAAGGTGACCATGAGGATGGAAGTTACGTGCTAGTATGGTGAAAAAAAGAAGTCATCAGAAACTGATAACTGTAGAGTCACTATACCGGTCCTGGATTGCCTACCACCAGACACCTTTTAACTGAGATAGACATGAGCTTCTATCCTGTTAAAACAAAACAAAAAAATAAGCTCCTCAGCCTCCCCCTACATCAGCCCATTCTGTGCATTGCTGTTATCTGCTTAGCTTCAGTCATGTTAATTGCCCATTAAAAGTCCGGCCAAGGCTCCACACTGCCCCGGGAATTAAATTCAGACTACCTGACATGCCAATTGAAAGCTTTCATCATCTGGTCTTAATCTGCCTTTCCAAAGTTGGCTTTGATACCATTAAAATGAAAGCCTTTTAAAGACAGGAACCTCATCTTATTTCTATATGCTCATTGCCTAATATGGTGTCTGACACATAGATGCTCGATAAATGTTGATAAAGTGAATCAAATCCCCTTTCTGCTCATGGCAATCAGATGAACCTGCATCAAGTGTTTTCATCTCTGTGCGCAGCTCATGTTCTTCCTTCACCTGTCAAGCTCCCTCCAAGCCAAGGTCAAAGATTACCTCCTCTGTGAAGTCCGGATTCTCTTAGGTGAAAGTGACTTCTCTTATTTCTGAACTTCAGGCATAAACTCAGGGACTTTATGGTATTTTCCCTTGTGTTGTGGTTATTTGTGTACGACCTGCTCCTCCCTCCCTCTCAAGAGCCAGCTCTCTGATGGCAAGGACAAGATTGTGATCATACCCGGAGGCCCTTGGATGCTAGCTGAACAATAGCCTCCATATAACAGTTTCTAGACATATATGTTTTTCCTTTGAATAAATATTATACTATGCAATTCTGAGAAACCATTAAAAAGGAAAAACTAAACTAATATAGAAAACCTCTAAGACAAATGTATATAACTTTAGGTTACAAAACGCAAGAATAATAGATGTGACATAGCCCCTTTATATTTTAACCCCTCCCCAAATATGCATAGGTATATATATTTAGAAAAGGAACCAGAGGATGCACATCAAATAGCCGAGGGTGGTTACCTTTGGGGACTGAGTGAGCAGAGGGGAACAAGTTCCACATATTCCTCTGAAGATTTATGTATTGTTTGGATCTTTTGCAATAATTATTTTGGTTACAAAAATTAACTTTAACATTAAAATATCTAATGAATGAACACGATATACAGCAGTACAAGGCAAAGTGTGGGAAGTGTTGAAGGAGTTGTGCTAATAGAGCTAAAGGAGCCAGACCAGGAAAAAAGAAGTCCTTGTGATTAGACAGGTCATGGGCAGATTTGCAGATCTTAAAGGAAAGTGGCATTTCTAAACGAGTGAGAAAGGGTATAAAGGCAGAGGGTTGGATAATTGGAAAAAATGAATAGACTAGTTTGGCTAAAGTACAGGATTTAGCCAGAAGAGTAGACAGAGGTGACTGGAGAGGGAAGTAAGAGCTGGTTGTGAAGAGCCTTGAATGGCAGTGGGAACCCACTGAAAATTTCTGAGCAAACGGGTGACCACGCACACTACACTGATGCGTCAGATGACTAGAATGTTGTCATGGAGGTGGAAGGCTACTATCTTGTTCAGCTCTGAGGCTTCGTTTGGTAATCTGAATGGGAAGTGGTAAGAGAGGATGGTAGCAGAAAAGGGCAAAACTAAGACAACAGTATCACCCACAGAGGGCAGCACAAGCCCACTTGGACCCAGGAGGGACCAGGGAGGAAGAAGCTTTCTCCTTGGATCAAGTTAGGAGGAACCGAAGGACAGAGAAAGGTGAGATGGTTCTGGCAAAGGGAGGGGAGCTGGCCCAACCATGACTTGAGGCACAAGTTAATTGGAGGACCACTCCTGGAAAGGCTGCCACCTTCAAAGGTATCTGTGTCAGCAAGCCGGAGAAACTACTATAGACCCCTGACTTCTAAGACCCATGGGGCGCCCACCATGCCCAGCTTGGTTACGGACAATGATGTTTAATCATTCATCAAGGCTGAGTGCCTATTATGTGCCAGATAATAAGCAAGGCACTGCTTTTTAAATGGTTTTAATATGTTTAACAGATTGTTAATAAATAAAAGCTTGTGAGTCAGTATATACAAATCTGGGTTCAAAATCAAATGCCGTATTTTCAGGAGCATGCATACCCTGGCTGACTAGATGTTTTCTTTTTAGGTATGGTTATACACTCGTAACCAAGAGTGAAGCATTACCTCCATCCCCCACTCTCCCTTTTGGCTGTTATGGCCAGGGAGGTACCATCCCATCAATGCAAGATCTGGCATAAGCAAAACCAGAGAGTCTCTAACTCCTATCCATTATCTAAAGCCAGCACTCCTATATTCAGAACTCAGAAAGAAGCCTGCATCCAAATTTCTGTGGTTCAAAGCCCCAAGCTAAGCCCTCCAACACTTAAAAGGCCTTGTATTCAATTCTGTCCTAGGATGGTTCTCCACAATGTATGGGAGGGGGTGTCAGGTGGACAAATTCATTCTCAAACCTCCTGCCTGGCCCAGATTAACTGTGCAGACTTCCTTAGAGACAACTCTCAATGTACCTGCTTTGGAGGAAGGGTCGGGGGAAGAAAGGTGTGTGGGTACAACTGGTCAGCTCTGGGCACAGACAGCCAGAGTTCTGGCCCAAGTGTCGTGCTCTCTACTCCACGACATTCAGCTCAGGAGCCAGATCTGCTCCTAAACTAGAGCCCAGATAGTCTCTTCTGTAGCTGTGGCCACAGTGACACAAACAAGGAGACACTTACCTTCAAGCCTTGATGGTGAACAGTCCTGACCCAAGTTCCTCACTTCCAGACTTTCAGCAGCACTGTTCCCTTTACCATACTCAAGGCTCAGATTTCCTTAGACCTAACCCTTTTCTACCTTTGCCCAGGAACTCAGGATCATCCTTACCCATTCCAGCAACCAGGGCCAGGGAGCTTAATTTGAATGAAAAACCTGCAGAGGAAAAAAGGCATCTGGATCCTATCACTCCCCAGTGACCAGCCTGATACTCCATACCTCCAGTTACCAGCTTAGAAAATAGAGAACTGGAGTTGACCCTTCTACCTCCACACCCTTCTGAACTGGAAAAGAGGCTCTTCTTAGTACTTTGCCTGCCTGCACAAAGACACCACTCCCTGCACCAAGCAGCAGCAAGGGGTATCCCCCTACACAATTATTCTCCAACTCTCACTACCCCACATGGTACACTATGGTTATCCCAAAGGATTCCAGAGCATCCCAGAAATAGATTCACTGGTCTTATCTGCAGTACAGAGGTTTGACTCCATTCTTGGCATAGGTCAGGAAACGTAGAAAGTACAAAATAAA